GTTTCTTCTCTTCGTCGTATTTTACGTCAATTATCAATACAATACGTGTATACAAACAAAGGGAGAAAAGGACCGAAAAAAGATGAAATATATTGTTCGCCATAGGTCATAACCGTAGATTTAACATCGAGCTGTAGACGTCTGTTATTCTAATTTCATTGTCAGTTTTTTCTAAAAATTGTCATGCTACTGATGAAGACGATCGTAAACATCAAAAAATAATAAATAATAATTGTACTAATAAAAGTGTAGTAAAAATTACATTTTATAAACATAAAGAAAAGTTCGCCTAAAATAGTTATCAATAGCAAGATCAAAGAGAAATCCTGATTTTCAAAAGAAAGCAACTATTCAGATTAAAACCACACGAAAATTCTTTAAGCACATTAATCACTCTGTGCACCATCATAATATAGCATAGTCGTATATACTTCTATATTATTACTACTGCTATAAAGTTATACTGATCTGGTTCGAACATCCCACATGGCATCGACGACCGTCATTTGATCTAATATTATCTTTCGACAAAGGGCAGTACCTTCTCGTATACTTGTTCCACAACCGACATGCGTACCTCCACGCATGAGTTGTAGTCAAAGCTGAAATTCATCTTCCATACATCTATCCGCACCAACGGTACATCACATCACCCAGATCTAGGACTAGTACATGCCCAAATTGCACATTTGAATATACGCATCACTCTGCAGAACATTTCAACACTAGCAATATAGAAATATCTTTAATATAAATGAAAATGAAAAGACCATGTATCTATGAAACAACATAAAAATTGAAGGAAATCATACTTTTCAAATATGAGTAATATAAAACATCATAAATATAGTTAAAAACAAAAAACGAATACTACTCTCTTTGTAGACATGCACCAAGTCCAAGCCCTTGGAGTTTCTGAATAAACGATGATGATTTTGGCTTCAAGTTCAAGTCCGAAACTCGAACTTCGTGCAAACCTATTTACTTGTGTTTACTTATACACCTATGTGCAAAAAAATCACAAAGGGAAAAGAGAAAAATAGGATTCTGTTTCCGAAAATCGAAGCAAAAATAAAAATAATTTGTCTACAACGAAACAAAGTATCTAAGAATAATAAATAATCTGTTTTACCACAAATTCTATTTTTGAACAAATAAAAAAAGACGCGCGGACGAAACGCATAAAAAAGATTTGTGTACGGAGACACAAGATAATAAAAAACAAATTAAAAATTCCCTGGGTTAACGAAAAACATAGAGACACACAAATAGCGTAGAAAAACTAATAGTGTTCGTATATATATCTACTATCAGCAATACTTGATAAAACAACCTCCACTTCAGTGGAAAACGACACAGAAATCACACAAAAAACATGTATGACACAAATAACCGAAACAACGGGAGAAAATGCCTGCAGAAGTCAGACAACGACTTAAATTCTACTGTTCCTTTGATTTGTCTTTTTGTTTTTTGATGATTGCGCCCGATTCAATTGCTTTCTGAGTTAATTTTCTCTTTCGTGGCTGTTTAATGATTTCTTCTGCCTGAGTTTGTTCTCGTGGACTTGTTGGTGGTTGACTTCCTGTTGTGAACCAGGTTGACTGTGTTGATGATATTGTAGTAGATAAATTATCATCAATTATTGAAGATTCTTGCGATACTAAGTGCATTTCAGAATTTTCTGAATCTAAATAGAGAAGAAATTATATGTGAAAAAGAAACTTCAAATTTTTCTTCTTCAGTGAGAATTTTGAAAAAGAAATTACTATTTACTTTGAACTGCACCCACATGACCACGTTTATCTTCTCTTAAATTAAACTTTTGAACTATTTTTCTCCTGGGTGTCATGACTTTGTCTTGTTTCATATTATCATCAACAACATGAGCACGATATGGTTCTTGCTGGAAAAAATCATAACCTTCTTGAGTTAGCCATGCCTGATTCTTTGTATTAATTCCTCTCATTGAATCATAATATTGTTTCATATCCACAATACCAAGTTGCATTAAAACACCAGTGAATTTCAATGTTTCAGATGGAGTAATAGGTATTCTTTTAATATAACATGAATAGTACGTTGTTTTATTCCCTAAAAATTTTTCTTTTAATTCTAAGATGCCAATATCGGCTAGAAATTGGCAGCATTTATAAAGATCAGGTAAAGTAGCATGTGTTATTGTTCTGTTTAATTTGGTACCAGTTATAACAGCTGAGCCACACAATAAAATTTTTTTACAATAACTTCTCATTGTTGATCGTACAGGATGACCGTCAATAATAACTAAGATAATAACCAAAGAGAAAAACTTTAAAAACATAGCATGAATCAACTACAGAAAAATAAGTCAAATTTCGTTTTCTTTAGCGGTATCGTCTTTGCCTTTCAACCAACCTTCAGTATCATCCTGTTGTTTTAAAGTACTTTTCTTAACAACAGCGTTATCATCCACTGTTGAAACAGGCTCTCTTTTTCGTTTTTTTGATTGTGATGCTGCATTCTCATTAGTTTCATTATTTCCTTCGTAATGGAATCCGTTTGTAATATCTCCAAGGGGACCATTACCACCTTCGACGAAATAAATCAAAAAGAAATAATTAAAGAAAACAGATAAGACAAAAAGAACAGGAACACGATCGAGCGTCGGGCATGTCGCGAGGGCAGAGCTCAGAGAAACAGGAATTTGTTGAGTATTTTTCTAGAAAGTACATAAAAATCTATGTAGCAAATTCAACCATTTGTTTTTGAGGGATTTAGAAGCAAAACAATCTCTGTATTTCAATACCTTGACCTTAGACACTATATTTTTCGATATACGGCACCGACATCAGCAGTTGTACTTGTTGTAGTTACGATTGGTGAACGGGGTTCAAGAAGGATCACAGAAACAGCATCTTTTTTGGTTCTTCTACAGATCGATCATACCCCCTACTGTGGTGTGTGTGGAGTGTGAATGTGAGTGTGTGATCGATTTGTAGAAGCATTTTTTTTGTTTCTTTGTTTCGCAAATATATATAAATTATTCGAATCGTACCTGGAGCCGAATCAGCATTATTACCATCTATTCTTTCGTTTGCCGAATTATCGGATTCTATGTCACAACAATTAGCTCTTGACGAACCATTCAAGACTTCATGTCCAGTTGTTAATATTTCTTCTAATTCATTCAATACTTGTTCTGTTTCACGAACTACTGGATCAGCTGATGATTCAGGCAACACTTCAGTTGTACTGGTTGGTCTTTCTTGTAATTTACTATACTTTTCACGTGTTTCACGAGAAATTGCATCAACGTGTGCAGAAATGGCTGAAAAAAAGCAAACCAGTTCTTAGCAAGTTCAAAGTAGAAGTGGATTTACTTTTTCCATAAAAGCTTTTACTGCTGCAAAAAGTTTGTTTTTGGAAAATATGAACAAAACTTTCTTAACAAAGGAAAGCTCGAGTTTCAAATTGCGATCCTGCATGATCTATCTAGAAACGTAACTCGAGTCGTTTTCTTTAATAAGAGACAGAGTGGTTTTATTAACCTTCAGTTTGAACTGTAAAAATATTCATTCGTTGATTACTATGATTATGATTAATACTTGTTGCAACATGAAAAGCTAAAAAAGAGAACAAAATTAAAAAGCTGCAGAGCAATGTAATTAAATCATTTTCGTTTTCTTAAACGGTTTTGAACAAACCTGCGGAATGATGTTCTCGTAAATGATCATTTGTACTGAGACTTGTATTTACTTTTGAAACTCTTCTAACCGAATTATAATCTGTATGACCATCATATGAATCAAATGATGAACGGGTAGCTATAAGAAAAAGACAGGTTACCTATTTAAGGAGGTTAAAAGCAAAAACAAAAAAGTACTATGACCATCAGATGCATCGGAATACGCGCCAGATTGTGCCGGCAAGGGGAGGAGCACGAAAACAGTATTCTTTTGCAGTGTTTCTCTCAAACATGTACAGCAAATCTATCCAGATCACTAATTCAAGTCTTTTATTTGTAAGCAGCGCCTGTGCGTTTCAACGAACCTTGATTTTCAAATGACAAATGATTAGTGCTAACATTATTATAAATGTGTGTTGTACTTAAACTAAGATCTAGAAAGACAAAAAGAATTAAAAACTACATAAAAGATCAAGACATCTCCTCTGAATTTTTCAACAAACCGGATATTTGATTTGTACCATCGTTTGTGGTTCTGTTCATCGATCCACCTGCTACTGTTGTACCACCATCCATTCTTGTACCAGGAGTATTTGAATCAAGTGATGCATGATTACCTACAGAAAAACCTGTTCATTTAAGCAAGTTTATATCGAGCCTAAGAAACAGTTCACATTTTCCTCCCCTTACACATAATAGAAAAAGGAACTCGCATCTCCGTCCCTTCTCTCGACCGCGAACAAACGCCCAACAGAAAACTACGTTTGCTCTCAACCTCTGTTTTGTCCAGCATCCCATAACACCTATTATTTCGCAACAGTACAAATAAATTTTCCAATTTCTCAATTTTAACGCGAAGATTACAACTCACTCTGGGGACAACTGAAACAAATGTTGTTCCCCCATACATACTTGGTTTCATTCGTTGTTGATTCTTCACATCCAAATTTTGTTTTAACAATGAAATCTTTTGTTGTAGTCCTTTAATATCTTCATTACGATTATCTGTTATTTGCAGCGCTTCTGTGTTCGGGTGACAATCAGAAATATTCTCAATAGTATGTAAATATTGATATAATGGAAAACCGTAATCATCAGATAAATTTTTCATTAAATCGGCTAATTGTTCTTCAGCTTGACAGTCAGGAAACCATCTGATCCAGCAAATAATGTTTCTTGCTGATGATTTTAAATATCTTCCACTTTTTAATAATTGTTTATTCACTAAATTGGATATAATTTTATCAACATCTATATCATTACGACCAGCATTTTTAAAAGGACCACCAGTCTGTGTTAGTGAAGCTTTCAATATGATTTTAAATGGAAATAGTAAAATTTTTCGTCCATATTCATTATCGTGTGCATTGTCTTCAAAATCATCATCTTGACAGTTGAATAAATTCATTGATTGTGGATAATAAACTTCATCATATAAACGAACCGCTATTTGAACTGTTTCTAATGTAACTGTCATTGACTTTGTTGGAGGAGACGATACTGATGTAATACGAACACAAGGTAATGTTTTTAAATCAACATAATCAGCATAGCTCGTATTATTTTGTTGGCTAGCTGCACCACCTTCATTCGAATAAAATAATTTTGCAATTTGTTGTTCACAAGCTTGTCGTGTTTCTAAATAGATATCACCAAAACGTATAGGATAACCTTCTTTTTCAACTTCTTTCAAAACCCGAAAAACGTCAAAAATGTTTTGTAGCGAAAATGCTAAACGTTCAATAAGATCGGCAGAACGACGTTCTAAACTGCCTTGACGTTTACTATCAGATAATTGTTTTATTGTAATATCTTTTGTTGAATCATTAAATCTTAAACCATTTAATATCGGTTCTAAATAAGCAGCAGCTTGTTGTGAATATTGATAAATACGATAACCCATTAAATAACGAACCATTAAAATAGTTTCTATTGATGGTAATTTTTCATTAAGTTCATATTTACCAGCCACAAAATTCTGTTTACTTAAACAATAATATAATATTCTTTCAAACAGACCTATGAAATACGCAAGAAGAAAAAAATAATGAATTATTTTATCTAAAATAAACTCTAAGCAACCGATAAAACACGTAGGAAGAAAACGCGCTCTACCCGCCCGAAACCTGACACATTTTTTCCATATTACAAAAAAGACTCCAACTTTTAAACAAACGCTAGCTCTGCTACCTGTAACGGACATGGCAGAAATCTCACGTAGCAGCGAACATTCAAGAATTGGTCGATATCGACTGTCTCGTCTCATTCGCGGCCCGATCGCTATCGACTCTTGCTGTTGCGGCGCGATAAAATCTGAAAAAGATTTTTAAGCTAGACCTTTTTTCTCGCGTAGCGACTCCCGCTGTCGCGCCGCGAGAAACAGTTAGTCGCTATTCACTGTTTTGTTTTGCAGTTCAGCAGTATACAAAAGAATGAGAAACAATTTTGTAGATTTTACCTTTCTACAAAGTCTTTTCTCGTTCTTCTGGAGAAGGATATTTTCTCTCAGAAGAGAACGTTTTCCTAGTTCTTTTATAAATGTCGATCGACTGCGAAACAAAACAGTGAATTAGCGATTAACCGTTTCTCGCGTCGCGAGAAAGTCATTTTCGCGTATAATCGCTTCAAGAATAGTGATTCCTCGAGTGATCGCGTAGTGACTGGAACAGTTGCTGCAAGAGATCATAGCGATTGGATCACAAGAACAAGACTGACGGCGTGAACAGCGCGATCAGTTTTGAGGATCGCGACTTCATAGCGATCGCGAAAATCGCGACTTTTTTCGAGATTATAGTGATCGCGTAGCGACTTTTTATCGTGAGTCGCGCCGCGAATTCAGCATGGTAGTTGACCTGGGTAACCTCGCTGAGTACACATATACACAAAGTACTCTACCAAAGTCTTTTCAAAAAGAAAAAAGTAAAAATATTAGTAACCGAAAATTACAGAAATACACTACTATGCTACAGAAATACATACTGGAAATGAGTAGTGTCGAAGTCGTTAGTACAGTTCACTTTTCATTTGTCAGTGTTGTTTTTTCACTCACTCTCACCGCCCAGCGACAAAAACAAAGAAAGAAAACAAATAGCGTCTACATAAAAAAACCTCAAGCGTTGCTAATAAACAGAAAAAACTTCGGGAAAAAACGATACATACTCAACCAAATCAATACCACAATCTGTTCCTTTCCCATGGACACAACGCAAGGAAATATTTTC